GAAGCTTTCCACTACCCTACAGCATCGAGAATCCATTTCTATGCTCACGTGCCCGGCCATGGGTAGTCCCACAACATCACAAGCCACCCGCAGGGCCGCGATCCCATCAAACAGCCCCACGCTAAGGACTTGCACTAGGTCATGCTCTTCAGGAAGATCACCACGAGCAGGGCAGTTGGCTGCGCTAACCCCGTAGGAAGTCAGTCCAACTGATGCGCAAAGACCCCCTCCTGTAGTAGACGCGTCAGAAGCCGTAACCTCACCGTCCACTGGAATCCTGAAATCAATCTGAGCAAGTGGGCTAAGCAGGATGAAACGCGCGATCTCGATCTTCACCTGATAGGGTAATGCTAACCTGACCACTGGGGCCTCCCCATCAAAGCTCTTCGTGTGCTCGAAGACTGAGTTCAGACTACCCAGCAGGGGTCGGCGGAACATAGCGATGTAAACGAAACCTCCGCACACGACTTGCAACTCCCTGAGGGTTGATTGGCCTCGTACCAGGAGTTCAAAACCCAGCTTGCAGTATTGCATCAGTTTTTGGGGTTTCGGCATGGCATAGCCCAGGTCCCCGTCAACCAGGGCACCTTGCATCTCACCCAATGTAACCCGTTGAGCCGCCTTCTTGGGGTGTCTCGGCAGGCCCAACTCTTCATAGCATTGCCTGAGCTGCTCAACCTGCGGTTTGACAGTGCCTTTGATCTCCCCTGCCAACCTCGAGGAGACTCGTTCAAGCGCGTCAAAGTTGTCCAAGTATATCCTATAGAGATTCGAGGCAGATGACATAGGTCTGTCCTTTCGCAGTTCTCCCTCAGCGCCCACGTATATATCACCTCACATCGCACTCCAACGTACCACATTCCGATGGATGTGCTGTGCAATACTGACTGACTGAGTTCAGGAAACCCATGGGTAACACCCGGGAGACTAGCACGCAAGCCCTCCCGCGCAGCTCTGCTGGCACCAGGGATTCTGGCACTGGTTTGTTGAACCCCATGTAGGCTTTCCATTCTTCTGGGATGGCGAACAAGTAGAAAAAGCACCGGATGTCTTCACTCGACAGAAGGGCCACTTCTCCCTGGTCCAGGAGATACCCGCTCATTCCCAAAATCGATGGGAGAGTTCCCACATCTCCTGTGAGACTCTTGCATAATGTATTGACTGGCACGAGGTTCATGATCAATCGTTGAGTCTCCAGGTTATCCTTGAACTCACCCTTGCCTACCGAAAAAAGGCCATTCAACAAGGGCTGCCCTTCGATATGGTGCAACCGTTCGATGGGCCAAACCTCGCACAATCCCTTGCTCACCAGCCCAGCACAAATCTGGGGCCACTCCGAGTCACTGCGCATGACACGTGGTGGTTTGGGCCTTACTTGAATACCCCGAGGGACCAAGTACTTTTCAAATGTTTTCACATACTCCAAGGTTCCGAGCCGGCAAAACTTCTCCAATGGCAGGCTACCCACAGCATCAGGGAGCGACTCTTGGATAGCCGCCCATGTCATGCGCTGTGCAACCTTAACCTCTTCCCCCATGTAGTCAACTTTTCTTTTTAAAAAGAACGTATCAAAGCAAACCTCCGTGTCCGTTTCTTTCCAAAAGTGGTTTCGACTCACAACAGCAGCTAGCCTTTTTTCAACTTGCACCTGCATGGTCGATCTGGTAGGCGTAGTCGCCTGTCGAAGAATTGCGGCCCTCCAGTCGTGAGTCGGCGCTTGCAAATCCAGCCAAATGATTCAAGCCACGGACCACTGCAGAGAGCACCTTGCCATCAGCCAGCGGGTGACCGGACTCCATCAACGTCGCCCAGTACTGTGCCTCCACAGTCAGCGGAAACAAAGGAGCATTGGGCTCAGTCGTGGTGTCCTTGTTGGAGCGCCGTCTCTGCGATTGCTCGTCCTTCCGCAACAGGTCAGCCGCTCGCTGGAATATGAGGTGAAAACCAGGTAGGGCACCACTTCCTGTCATCTCGAATGTTGTGGTGGCCTTCCCATCAAATTCTGCCATCTCCAACTCCCGACACCCGGGAGCCGGACCTGCCTCCTCTTCGGGTGCAGTCATAGTGCCATGCATAGTTCCAACCAGGAGGGCTTTGCTCTCCCGATCCCTTGGCTCCATCTTCTTCATTGAGCCTTCTTCTTGCCGTCGCCTTTGTCCTTCTTGCCCTTGTCGCCCTTGTTCTCTGATCTCTCTTCCTTCCACTTGCCTTTGCCGCTCTTCTCCTTGCCTTTGCTGCGCTCCCACGGAGCACTGCTCGCCCGGTGTGGGATCTTGGCCTCCTGATGAGCTGCCTGTCCGGCCAAGTTCACCTCCGTGTTCGATGCCAGGCCTCCCTTCTCCAAGGGGAGCAGCTCCATCTGCCGCAATAGATCTGCACGAAGCCCTCGTGATAAACCTTCCAGGCTCTTGAGCCGCTGGCTCATCACATCCAGTGCAGATGACACCCGACCTTCCAACAGCATGTCCATTGTCGCCGCCCAGCGCAATGCCTCCCGGGCTTCAGGTTCTGACACAGCTGCTGCCGGCAGTACTGCAGGATAATGGGCCTCACTCCCGCCTTCTCTGCTTCCGGGAGTGAAGCCCCTAGCTGAAGCATCATAGTGCGCTGGGCCTCCAAAACCATCGTTGCTGTAAGGACGCCCGGATATCGCCGCCAGATTCTCTGAGTCGCAGTCAGGGGTGTGAACAGTTCCTCTGGCGCCTCCGCCTCCTCCGTTGGGCTGGAATCGCTGCTCCCGCTGGATGATGACGTTCCTGACGAACCCTTCTTGTTCCGGGAGCGCTTGCCCAACTTCTTGGCCTTGCGGCGTAACCTCCGCCGAGTCTCTTCTTTTGGATCGAGCCCTGTCGTGGCGAAGAGGGCCTCCGCGGACTTGATGCCAACCACCTTGTCTCGGGCCTTCTTTTCTCGGCTTTTCTGACTTCCTCCTCTTCTCCCGATTCCTCCGGGAGAACCTTTTTGGCCTTCACGCCCTTGGGAGCTTCTCCTCTTCCTTTGCCGCGCTCCCCGGCTTCCTTCCTCAGGACCTCGAGCTCGTCTCTCTCCGACTCGCGGACCGAGATCTCTAAATTCCGGCTCCATGGCAATGCCTTGTACTCCACGGCCTTGATCCTGTCTGCATGGAGCATAGTGTCCCCCCATGTCATTGTGGAACAAGGGCTGTCGCACAGGTGGACCTGTAATTCCTTCTTTGCTTGACCACTGATGTATTTGAGAATGCTCTCGGTGGACGTTCCATGAACCCGGACTGTGGTCCATGCTCCGTCCTCCCCCATCACAGTGTCTTGGTGATCTCTCCCACGATGTCGGCCTCGTTGTCCCAATACCTGCCTTGGATATGCACTGCTTTCATCTCTTGCAGCGTCCTCAAATCGACCTCGCCTGCTGCCACCCACCCGTCCCCAAGTGGGCCTTCTGACGCAGGCCTGGCCATGACCCTCCTCCGGTCTGGCCGCGCCGCCGGGCGCCTCATCCTCTTCGGCGCCATGCCGGGTTGAGGCTCTTCTGATACTTGAACTCACGATCTCGGGCCTTCTTCTTGAGACCCTTGTTTCGTTTTCGCTTCCTCTTTGCCTGGTTGTATTCCTGCTGATATCCACCTCTGTACCGTTGCCCTGGGACGGGTCCTCGGCGGTCAGGTGGCGCTCGGCCGCTCGGGACGGCACGCCTTTGGCTGGGGGGGGCGGGCAATGCCGCTGGCTCCTCCAGCTCCTCGTGCTCAGAGAACGCCTGCTCCTGGGATTCCTCCTCGGATTCCTCGTGGTGCTCTGCTGGACCAGGGGCCTCCTCCGCCCCCCGCAGCACTGGTTGAGGCGGCTGCAGCCTCCTCCTCAACCTCGACGTCCTCTGCGTCGGGCCCTGTCTCCTCCTTGGCCACTCCTGAGCCTTGCCTGGAGCGACTCCTTGATGGCGCTCGAGGTTCACTGGGTGACGGCTTGGATGTAGGCCTCAAGCCAAAGCCAGCTGGGTCACTGGCCACTGCTCTATCCTACTCTTCTTTTGTCTCCTCTCCTCCTCTGCAAATAGCCCTTCGCGGCGGCTGGGCTTGGGCTCCTCGCTCTTCTTAGTCCTCTCAGCCTCACCTGTCTTCGCCCTGGTCCTGTCTCTCCCTCGACGCTCACCAGAGTCCCTCCTCCGACGTCGATCACGACCAGGACGAGCCTCCTTCTCCTCCTCTGTGGATGGTTCCTCTTTCACTCGCCGCTTTCGAGCAAGTGGTGGACGTGTCTCTCCAGGAGAGCTTGGACCTTCTCCCGCTGCTTCGTGAGTGCCAGGGCTCGTAACCTCACCAACTGAAGATGTTGCACCTTCTCCTCGATCACGTTCACCAGGCCGTCCTGTAGCTGGCCCGGATGGTGGAAGAGTTGGACCTCCGGGTCTCTCTCCACCTGTGTCACCAGGAGCTGGTGCTCCCGCTTGTCCAGGAGAGGCGGCCCCTCCTGTGATCCCCCTGGAGTCCCAAGATCTGTAGTTTGCAGCCGGTCCAGATATGCTCCCTCCAGGAGCTGGGTGTACGCCTGCTGAAGAACCGGAACTGCTCGAGCACGGAGCTGTTCTGTCGACCCCTCGTAGAAGAGCAACAGGAACAGCTTCTGGACAGCCGCGCAACACTCACAAGCGCAGTTGTCCACGAAGTGTATGGCTTTTCGGCCTCCCCTACTCGAGGAGGCCATTCACCCTTAAGCCACAACACTGCGGTTAAAGTCTTGGGTTTCTCGTTTTTAGATACGAAGCGAAGCCCATATAATATATACAGTGTATATATGACATCCTGACTCAAGTATCAAACCAGCCTATTGAACCACTGCCCCTCATTACTGTACGTCGCAATAGACTGGAGCAATTTGACATTCTCATGAACCTGAAGCCTGCAAAAAAGAAGACCTTAGTGCAAGCGCATCCTACCAGCTGGCCGCAACAACCTGATAACACCAGCAATTCTCAGCGAGTTCGACATTTCCTCCCCCGGCATCTTGCTCTCAATGTTGGCCAGTGACGAAAGTCCGGCAAGAATGATGGAGAGGAAGGGAGCATGATTGGAGGTCCTGCAACCTGGCGGGTGTGGCGAAGCTGGACGACTGGGTGGTGCGGTGAGCGAGTCCAATTATCCTATTGGGAAATTCATGCAGAAGTCTAGTTTTAGGCTTCAGCAGCGTGTCCGAGAGTGGTCCAAATGGCACATTCTCGAGCAAAGCGCGCGAACCAAGGGAAACTGCTATCAACAAGGTGATCTAGACGTCCACTCGCACAGTCAACGCGAAGCGCAAAGCGAGCAAGAAGCAACTGTTTTGTCTCCTGATGGGCTTAGCCACAGAGTTTGTCTGATGGCAATGGACACTGAACAAGGATGCTTGCCAAAGCTAGAGGCCTGGCAACCTAAATCAAAGCAGGGCAATGACCATGTCAACAAGCCCATCATTCTGGCATCGTTTTGGCATCACTCGCTAGCTTTGATGATTCCGATGGGCATATCTTGTTGATGAAAGGTGCCCAATCCTCCATGTCGTCGTTCTTCAGGCAACTCAGTTTTTCCAGGAAGGGGTCAGAGATCTCTGGGGTGCAATAAGCTCTCACCATCTGAACAAGCTTCTCCAGGATCCTGACACAGTCATGTCTAAGACAAGACAAGGCTTCCCACAAGGTCCGGTAATTCATTCAAAATGGAAAGTTATAATAGTAGTGCCAGATCTTCTACTTCTCACTTCCAGAATGAGCAACCTCCAATGGAAAAGAAATAAAGGTTCCCTTTTTTGCATCCAAGAGGTCGGTGGCCCAATGATGTCCATCTCCATGTCACGTGCTGGAAGCGCTTCCAGCAGCTCGCGCACGGAATTCAGGAGGCAAGCAACGAACCTGTGGCACAAGGTCAAATAACTCTCCCAGATCTCATTCTGTCTCGTCTCTACTTCTGCAGGACTCATCTCTTTGACAAGACTGAAATTGGCTGCAACGTGAGCATTCCAGTTGGGCTGACCTTGCAACTGCGAGTTCGCAAAAGATTCGATGGCACCCAAAAGCATGTCCATTGTGTTCACATCGCGCTTTCGTTCCTGTTCGCCAGGTGTTGGCACAAAAGACGCGACCACGCACAAGTACCAGATTTGAAGCATCAGTGGCACTTCTGGATTCTTCGGATCTTGCTGCTTCAACTCTGCATTGCAGAAGCTGACACGGGGAACCATCTCTTGTCTGTCTTTGTTTTCCAGGAAGCTCAGCAAGACATCAACGGCAACATCATAGACTAAGGGTAGAGTCAAATCGGGGAAAAGCCTTCGAAAAATGCCCACGGTGTGTTGTGCTTCCCGCAGCATTTGGCTCTTGACTAAGGCCTCTGTTCGAAGTGCCAGGAGGCTTGCAAGAATATCACCCGCAACCTCAGCGTCTTTCTATCGGGTGGCGGTGGCTACAAATTCGAGGTGGCATTGATGAACCGGCTTCAAGGTACTTGAAGCTTGAGCAAAGGTCGTCTACTTGACGAGCCCAAAAGTTCTGGAGCTGTTTAAAAAAGAAACAAGCTGGCCATACCCTCTGAATGACCCGTTTGGCTTCTATCTGAAATGCATACAAGTTTACTGCATCGGTGCGCGCGTTCTCCTCAACATATGGCGAGGTTTGATCCACAATGCTCAGCCAGTCCCGCTGAACGACCTTGAAACTGCAAGTGGAGAAGTCTCTTGAGGCACGCTCTCCCAGAGCTTCGGCCTCCATAAACTGCTCAATGTCCTGACAACAGGAGTTGAGCTTAGCTTTGACCTGCTCCAAGAGAGTGAGATCCGGAAACAAGCTGCTTAGGACCTCCGCAGATGCTCCATTCGTCAGGAGGAGCTCACTGAATTTGTAGCGAAATCGAGTGGCACTGTAGAGGAGCTGAGACTTGCCACGTGCAGAGGCAGCCTGGGATAAGATACTCCAATGATTTGCACGCTGAATCTCTGCCACCACCTCTGCATTGGCGGTCTCGCGAGTCCAGAATGGATGCGCTTCCAACGCATATTTCGTTCCAAGCCCGAGCAAGGCGATTCCTGCAATGGCAGCTCCAACCACACCCGCGAGCTGTAGTGAAGTCGCCTTGGTTTGGCTGCATCTTGCAGCGTTTGCAGAACCTTTTGGTCTGGCATCTTCTGGCCAACCATACCCTGCAAATTCACAAAACATGTCAAAACATGCTGTGTTGCTGTTAGCAAGTTGCTGTCACCCCAAAGGATCCCAAGGCGGCAATACCAGCTTCAGTTGCAGCCAGCCGACCAATTGACAAGGCGGTGACCTCGCTTCGGAGAGCTCAGACCACGGATTGATCAGCCTGATCCTTTAGGTACCACACCCCAGGCAACTTGGTGAACTACAAGGCAACTTGGCAGAACATCTGAACAAATGGCAAGCGACTGTCAGCATAGTCACGGACTCCACTGGATACCTCCCACGCAAATGACCAGTTCCAGGAGTTATCACTTCCTGCAAGAGTGGCAACCAGAAAGAGGGGAAGGTTCTTCTCCCTGCTGAGCCCCGATGTTCCCAAACGAATGGAGGTGTCTGAAAACGCAGTTTGTAATGACGCTTGATGAAGTGTCTGATCGACTAGACGACCACATCATGGACACGTGATCTACCGGGTTGCAGTATGCTGCTTGTTGCAATCCTGGCAACACTTGTAAACAAAAGAAACAGTTTATTGTTTTGCTCAATGGCACCAAAGAGCATGTTGACTTTAAATATATCATGTACAAAGCAATCAAAATAAAACACTTATGACTTTGGGCACAAACAAAAGTAATTACATGCATGTTTTGTGCATCTAGTTTCCTGCAACGCAAAACATGTAAATTGGTATGTTGAGGCACTACATTGTCAGGCGACAATCGGATCCGTGTATGTACATGCAGGTGAGGTCACTTGGGTTACTAGTTGCTAGTAGTTCAGTTGGATTCCTGAATATGCATGTTGCAAGTGCAACCCAACGATTAGTGAAATTTGTTGATATTTATGACTACAGTATTTATGTTGTTTTAGTTGTTGCGGCGAATGCGCTGGCTTGCGCTCTTCAAAAATAACTTGCCTTCAAAACTGAGGTCAGCTGGATCCAAATATATATATATATAGATGATGCAATTATATACATATGCAGACTATACACTTGTGTTCAAGTTTACAGGAAGTACCGGTGTGGAATAAATGGATGCACCTTGCTGATCTGTATGAGAGTTGCTGATCTGCCAAGTCTCGCTCTGACTTGAGGTCTCTCCGGCCTTTGAAGCATCCAAGCCCGCTCTGGTCAGCAATCGAAGGGCCACTTGCAAAGTCTTTTCTTGAGCACGCATCATTGCAGCATCCAGCCTGCAGCCATTGAAACTGGGGCAAAGGTCGCACAAAATGACTAGACCAAAGACATTCCTAAAGACCAATCGCACACGAAGCCCTGTTCATTGACAGCAGAAACAGGCATGCAGCTTCGAATCAGCATATCTGGAACATCTGGCCCTTTGGGAACAGACCATCATGATCGTAATCCCATGCAAATCTTCAAGTCACATGTATGTGCATTATCGCGTTGCACATGTTCAAATATCACATGATCCTAACTTGGTAGCTGAAAAAGTGCCCCTGCCTTCGACCGCCACCCTGCCTGGACTGCATCTCCTTCTCGATCTTCGGGACCAGCTTCGAGAGAAGCTTCTCAATGTACTGATGTCGAACCCATCGGCTCGGGCCGCCCTCCTGATTCACCTCGTCACCTGGCACGAGGGAAACAGCCCTTCTGGGCACTTGACGGACCGCAAGGACCGAGAAAACCGCAAGGACCGAGGCGCCTGCACTGGTGCAGAGCTCTTGAAGCTTGTCATTGCGGACGGCATCAATCTCTTGTCGAATCTCTCGCTCCAAATCGCCTGCCGCATCTTCCGCGGCCGTCTGCATCTCCTGAGCATAGAAATCACTGGCAGCAACGGTTCCTGGCAGGGAGATCTTGCTGAAAGCAATGCCTTCGTTACCTAGATGCTTTGCATTGGCAGGTGTATCATGATGTATCATGTATCTATTCTATGTAACTGGGGAGACCACCAACGGTTTTGGTCTAGTTTTCTTCTTTGACGGTGCCGATCTGGGAGGTGTCTCTCCCGTATGCTGTGACTTCCGTTGTGCTGCGTGCTATTTCTTCCTTCTCTTTCCCCACTTACCGCAGATTTGTAGCTTCCAACTTCTGCATGCTTCGCATGCTCGATGCTTTGACCAGTTTGTCTCCGGTACTCCAGCCGCTCCTTGCGAGGTCTCCAGTCGCTTCCGGTACTCGTCAGTAAGCTCTGCCGTGCGGTGCATGGCGGTCTGCGACTGGTTGCTGAGCACAGTCTGCTCTTGCTGCAAGAGCATGAAGATCTCCTCGAATGGATATGGCCAATCCGGAAACGATTGACCAATGTCGAAGTGACACACTGGAAAAATAAACTGTCTCTACGAGGATTGGGGCAACCTGTTGGGGGTTTTGGCATGTTTGGGAACCTTTCTTCAGGTCATCGTCCTTGACGTGGTTTTGGATGTCTCTAAGCCAGCTCGTGGCCTCTTCAAGCGGCAGATATTTCTGAAGAACTTCGTTTGAATCATCCTCTGGATCCTGCAGTAGTCCACCTGCGTGCAAGAAGATGCGCGCAGAAGAGCTCCCGATATCGCGCCGGAACTGGCTCACTAAACTGTCCGCAGCTTGCCGTTTGCTCGTGTCCTTCTGCTTCTTTCCTGGCTTCAAGTTCATTGCCATGTCATAACGAGTGAGAACCCAGAAAGTCTTGCTGTAGGGGTTGAGTGCCAACATCTGCTGTGTGTGCTCTGGTTTGGCCGTACCCTCCGTCAAGGGGCACACCATGCATGCAATGTGCGAGTGGTCTTGTAGAAACCTTTGGACGAGTTTGGCATACTCTTCACTCTCAGTAAACCCAGGTGTATCAACCAGGCTGTAGTGGCAGCCAAAAGGGTTCAATAAATCCAAGGGAAGTTGAATGCAAATCTCACCATGTCCGGACGGATTAGCGTCCCTTGCAAACTTCTCTTCCAAGAATTCAGCCATGTCGGCTCGTAGCACTTCTGGCTTCAGGTCGTCTAAAAGCCATTCTTTCTGCAGCACATCATTCAAATAGACACACGCGTGCCGTTCGGTGGTGGACTCCACCTTCCAAATGCAGTTGGTTGCCGCCTTATTATCGACTGGCAACAGCATCTCACAGTCTGGCAAGCAGGAAGAAAGGAGAAGATTGATGAGGGAGCTCTTTCCAGCCTTCAAGGGCCCAATGAAAATGATTCTCAGCTTCTCTTTGGCCTGGATTCTTTGAACCAATGACTCCATGCCATGGACATGTTGCCCAAGGTCCAATAAACTGTTGGCCGATTGAAGTTCTTTGCAAGCTTCGGCCAAGTCTGGCGCCTCTTTGGCCAAGGCGTCAAAGCGACGCCGGGTGAACTCCCTCATGCAGGTGCAGCTCACCTTAGGTGACGGACACCCACGACCCACACCGAAACGCACGGCTGTTGAAGCGTTCAATGCGAAAACGTCATCCTACACTACTGTACCAAGGACCCAACTCTAAGCATCTCTTGTAGTTGAGCAAATCGTCTGAAGTCCGCCATGCGAGGTTCCTGTACTTTCTTCGCCGGCAAAAGACTCGCAATCTGCTCCCATTGGGTACCTGCAACAAACAGGAAAATTATAGAATTGCCAAACGAAAGGTTCAAGACAGCGCAATCAAATGCAAGACAGCGCATGGAGGCACGCCCCGTCTCAAGCGTGAGACCATCACAACACATTACAGTTTTCAACAGCGCTAGGCAGCTTCACCTGCGCTAGTGCTGCGCAAGTGAACGAAGTCATCTGATGGACTCGCCATGGCAAATAATGCTCTCGCACAGTGGCACCCTTGAGGCTTCAAAGGCCAAGCCGATTGAGACAAATGACTTCACCGTGAGCATTGGGTATGTCGTGCCACAGTGAATCTTGCTTTTCTCGTGTCATTGGCTCTACCAGTACAGCGCAAAGCCCGTGGGCAATTTCCACGCCAAATGTTCATGCTCAAAATACGCCGAAGACGAGCTGCAGCTACCTCCTCGTCATCCTCGTCTTCCTCATCATCATTTTGTCTGGAGCCTGAAAAGCCACCAAGTGCTACAACCGGTGTTCACCTGTCGGAAAAAGAAGCATGTACAGTAAGGTAAATTTGATAATCACTGGTCATGCTCGACTACAAGAAGTGCATCACAGCAAACATGGCTACTGTAAGTGTCTTGCAAATATTCAGCCCACAATATTCAGTACTGTAATTCATACTCATACAAGATCATGTAGATATATCATTGCAGCAGCCCAGAATTAAAGAAATCTAAGAGATGAGCAGGTAACCACTGTGTAGGTACAGCACTCCACATGTTGAGCCATATCCATTTGGGAGTGAAGGTGGTGCACATGTAAATCGCCTTCAGAGAATGAGTTAGCGCCACCTACTCTCAAGCTACGGATCATACATCTATCTATAGGGCAAAAGCGAGGCTCTAGCATCATTTTACAGAAGCAATCACACGCACACGCGCCTTCTCTGGTTGTGGGGCTGCCCACAAGTGGTCTGGCCTCAATCGCACTGAAGAACTCTAAGAGAAGAGGGTGATCATCTTCCCGGTCCTATCCGTCTTGTTACGGGTCCACAGGCAGTCCGATGGTCGATCCACTTGCCATGACGGTCGGTCAATGGATGAATCCGGGGCCCTCAGAACACATGGCACTGATGAGATTGGGTGTTCACACCCGACTCACTCTTGTACGCATGTTTGTACAGAGTCCTGCATCCGACATCTCTGGAGCTCCATGACCCAGAGTCCTGCCTTCCCATTGAGCAGAGGCTTCTGAGGCCTTCCAGCTTCCAGCGACGGAAGTCTGGTCAAGCAGCTAATGTTGAAGCAAATGCTCCAAGCTTGAACTCCAAACTGAGGGAGACAAAAACGAACACATATCGAGATAAACTAGTTTGATGTCGGAACTTGCAGTGTAAGACGTGTCGTCATTGGTGACGGAACTCCAAATCGAGTCGCCCAACGAATCGTCCAGAGACGCGGGATTCCGAGACGCGGGACCTGTCACCATATCCATACGACCTGGCAACCTGAGTAGCAAAATCAAAGGAGCAACAGTTGTAACCATTGGTTCCTATTATATACACCGAACGAATGTCTACCCAAAACGGACGTCTCATCGCCAGAAATCAGACTACTACCGCGACAAACCAAAGTATATGAAAGTCCGTATAGGTACCTTATGATGGTCTATATTTGTATGTCTATATAGTTTAGTGAAACAGCACCATGCACCTCTTTCCCACCACGAACGCCCTTAACCATCGTCGCTGCCAGTCTCTTTTGCCGTTACAGTGTACAAAATTGGACTGACATAGCTTTGCAATCAAGATCTTCCTATGCACCAGCCAGCATCCTCCCTTGGCACGCCGCCCAAAACTTAGACACTCCAGGAACAGCCCATATGATCCTCCCACGTGATTCTTGAGAATTCTATATATTCATTGAAATCCGTCCTTCAGCCTATAACAACATGTGATTTCGCACATCCTTCCGCCATTCGACCTTTGAACGATGCTCCGATCGCTCTGCCGCCTCGCATCTCCGCGTCCGAAGCCCAGGCCGCGCCCACCGGTCTCCACCGGACTGAAGCCTCGGAGTGGTCCGCGGTGGTTCGGTTGAGGATCCGCGGGATCCGAACTTAGGAGGCTCCGTTTCGTAGCGTCCTTGCTCCTGGTATGCTTTGTCACTTGTTTGGTTGTTAGAAAAAGGGAACAAAAGGGTTCTTTTTTGGGCCCAGGGGGTAACCCAATGTCACAGGATGCTACAGGTTCTTCCGGAATGACACAGCACCATTGGGGTACAAAATGATGCAACACATGTCTCGCAGGAACCCCATTCGGATCATTCGGTTCTGCTACTTGCTCCGTGATTCGTAGCTGAGACCATATATGTGTGTAATACGACATTCCTTGGGAACATCCAAATAGGACATATATAATTCACAATAATACAGTACATATATAGTCACCCATCCAGGTACAAATTAGGGACTTCTAGTGCTTGACAATTATTCTTAAACTCTGAGGCCTCCTTGACAAGATTAGGTACACCCACATACGCAATCCTGGCTTCCTGCATTCTTCCACACAAAACGGACCTGTTGTATCCTGTTGTCTCCAGTGGCTGTCCGAAGATCCAACCTTCACTTGTGTTTCCGGCCCATCCATTTGGGATTGTCTCAAATGAAAAACAGGAGTGGCTGAAGCCACTGGCGAAACCCAACGACAAACCAATCAGATTCAAGAAAGAAAGAAGGCTGCTTTGCTCTCACATTTTGGGACACGCATTGAACAAGTCCCAAACAGCCATGCTGTCAAGATACAATGTCGTGCAACAAAGCACAAGTGCTGTCAGCATGGTACAAGAATGTGTTCAAGCGATGCTGAGCAGCTGAGCAGCTGCTGAGCAGCTGCTGCTCACTTCCCATTCCAGATCTGAACTCCCCGACCCCAAGCGCCAAACGAACTGGTCGGCACGAGACTCCCGGCTGGCGGGATCATCGTCCCAGCGGCCCGTCCAGGGCTTTGCCTTGGGGAGCATCTTTGTCGTTCGCATCTTCAGAATAAAAAAGGGTAAAGGACTGCTTTTGATTTCAAAGGACTGCTTTTTGATGCTTTTTGTGTGTTCTTTCGAGTGTTGAAAACCAATGTTCTTTCGATGTTGCGCTTTGATGTGTTTTGTGCTGCCTGCAATTCTGGACATGTCATCTTGGGGCTGATGTATACAAAGGCCTCAGTCAGTGGCAAGCGCGATGATCCCTTTCGATCCCTTTCGCGGTTCAGAAACTCAACTGGCACCGAACTGCAAGTGCCTCTAAGTTGCTCCCAGGGTTTCAGGCTCATCTTCCAGCTCCTGGCAAGCATGTTGCAGAACCAAACGAACGACCCGGGTTTGGCACCCCGGCTCGTTTCGGCACCGGCTGTGCGCCCGAGAAACTCTCGGGTGCTGTTCAAGCGTTCTTACCAACCAATTGTCATGCTTACCAGAAGCTTCCGTGTCAAAAATGTTGTGGTGCACCTTTGCTTCAAACACTTGTTTGACTTGGTGATTGTGTCTTGACACTGAAAGTCTGTTGATCATGCCCAAGATTCCTTGTTAGATCATCGAGTCGAAACCGCTCGCTTTGAATAATGACTCTCCAAAGGCTTCCGAAAAGGAAAAAGACCAACGCACAGTCTTCCAAACATTCGAAAACACTTCGGTTGGACCACTGACTGATTGAATATATAGAATTGTCAAGTCTGGATGTCCTCCAGGTCCCTAAGGCTCCCTCTAGTCGGATCAAACACATGCCAAAAAAAAGGAAAAACGAACGAACAAACGACCGACCGACCGACCAACCGAGCGAACAAGCGAACGACCGAGCGAACGCACCCACGAACGAACGAACGAACCTCATCAAAGAGCTCGTCGTACTCTCCGACCGGCGCAGGTTTGCTCGCAGCCCTGATGGCGTGATGATGGTAATGCGACTTCGGAGGGTGTGCCTCATCTGACTCATCTACGTCTATCTTTAGTTACCACCGAATAAGATAGAACAGCGGTTCCCCTCTAAAAACTCCTTTGAAACTCACCGCACTGGGGTAGCCTAATTCTATATTGAGCATAAAATGCTGACCATCAAGCTTCTGGCTTGTAGAATCAAAGCACCCAGGGTCATTGAAAGGCTTCGGAATCAAGCACCCTTTGTTGGGAAAAGATTCCATAATTAGTTACGCCCCCCAATGTCAGGGAGCAAAACGTATGAATCGGACGTGCCAAAACCTCATGATTCTGTAGTGGGACAAGGCTGCTTCCATATGTTTCCGTAGGCTTTCCAGAAACTTCCTGGCCAGCATCTTCAAATAATAAGCCAGAGAAGAACTAAGTCAAATGCACAATCCTAGAGCTGCTAGCATCCATAAGCAAGCATTTAAGGCTGAGGAAATTTGAGCCAGCAGACCCACCAATCACACAAAATATAACAGCCGACAAGTGAAAGTACAATCCTAAACTCAACATTGTTGGGCCATAGTGTCAGGGCCCCTAACAGCCTTGACCACATTTGACCACTGTAAAATCAAGGGCTTTGAGCAAAGTGTCTAAACCCCCCCCCCCCGAAAATCCTGGCAAAATATCACCAGTTGGACCATTTGGCACTTGCCAACATGTTTGACATTCAGCCCTTCAGGGCCCTTCAGAACTTCAGGCACAAGCAAATCACTCCAAAGTTGGCCCTAATAGGATCAGTGCCCTGTTCCTGTGAACCAAAAGACCCGGTTGACACTGGAAATGTGATCGGGAAGTTATCATTTATAATATTGCGCCAGTTCCGAGATGCTGCAAAAGAATGCAATAGAATCACACACCAGTCCCATACATTTGAAAATCTCTACATATTCTCTTAGTTATGTCCTTTCTGCCCACACTGTAGTGACTAAGATGTGACTGTAGTGGTTCCAAGATGGCTCGACTCCTCGGCCACGTCCTAAACTTGAGTAACAAGAGGACGCTAATGGGAACAAAGGGCATCGCTACTAGGAGCAAGGGCGCTACTAGTAGCTCCTGGCATTACTACTAGTAACAAGAAGCTACGTACTCGGAACACTTGTTCTTCAATTCTGAGAGGTGCTGGATGCTTCCTGTGCATCTGGGCACTGTTCCATCTGTGCTCTGTTTCTGCCCGGACCAAAAAGCGAGCAAGGCATAGGCGCTTGCTCTCATGCAAACAAAGAAGTTCAAATAGATCGATCTTTCTTTCTTGCAAAATGGATGGCAATCTAGTACCGATGATCACACTGGGGTCATCTGGAGGTGCAAATCTTTGGCAGCACTTTATAGCTTCAATCCTCACTGATCTTGCAAGTGTTCCATGAAGCTATACTGGCAAACCCTGGGTCAACACCAAGCATTCCCGCACTTTTCTGTCGAGGAAGGAAGCGGCCGACTGCTCAATCCAAGCAGGACAGGTATGTCTGTGGGTAAGGTATGTCTGCGCCGACTGCCCAGCCACCTCAACCCACATCTGTGCGTCCAAAGCACGTCCGATGCGCCAATGCAGACGCACCTCCTGTGCTTGAGCAAAGCCAAGCAATTGGACACAGTCTCTTCGAGTTGCAATCCCGCACGACGCGATCCATAAAGGAGTTGACAATAGCTGTTGATTGGTAGAAATGAATGCAGCTCCGTTGGTCGTGCTGCTCCGTTGTCCGTTTGACCTTCAGAATGCGTGCTGCTCAGCGCTCTGTTCCGTGCCTCGCTGGCCAACCCCCAACCCGACGGTCGCAGCGCATCTGGCGGTCCTTGCATGCGGGATTCGCCTCAGAAGGCAAGGATACTACTACAACCTCCTGGCATCGCTACTAGGAGCAAAGGACGCTACTAGGGGCTCCTCGCCTTAAACAAGAAGCTACTAGGGGCTCCTGGCATCGCTACTAGGAGCA